TAGAATAGAATAGAATAGAATAGAATAGAATAGAATAGAAGAGACTTTATTGATCCCACAGTGGGGAAATGCACTTGTTACAGCAGCACCAGCACTCACCAGAATATTTTGAAGAGAAATAAAAACAAATAGGCAGTAAGCTATTATTGTAACCTTCGACCACTAAAAACTACAAATAAAAATGAAAAACTTGGGTTACTGAACTATGCAGCATGCTGTAAGGGACACAGACATACCATGTAAATCCGGTATTGCACAAATATTGAACACATACTGAATATTGCATTGGTGTTATTATGTACCAGCAGAGGTGGAAAGAGTACTAAAATTTCCTACTTAAGTACGAGTACCAGTACTTTGATAATTTTTTACTCAAGTACAAGTAAAAGTACTTGCCTAAATTTTTACTCAAGTAAAAGTCAAAAGTATCGTAAATAAAATGTACTCAAAGTAAAAGTTACTTAGTTACATTTTTGTCAGCGTAAAGATGGTTACATCAGTGCAAAACCACAACACCAGTTCACAACACGCTCCTGTGTGCACGCACACACACGGACACACACACACAGTTTGATGGAAGGATTTCTATCCAGTCAGTGAGAACAGGACGTGCACGTTGATTGGACGAGGTTTTTCTAGGATTGTACGTTTCAACTGTCATTAAAATTATTCTTTATTTTGAAACAAAAATGTTCATTTTTAGATGCCATCGGTATGTGAGGTATCTCAATGTTCTCATGACAAAACTCTAACATGAGACTGTGCTCTAACCTGTCACATAACAAGCTAAATGAAAGTCAACATGTCAGATGGACCGTATGACAGCTGCTAACGTTGGCCCTGCCCTACTTTACCTCTACATTACAGTTCTATTTCGTCTAGTCTTAGCCCTTAAGCGAGCTGCTATTGGAAGGGTGAGCTCAGCATCAGCATTCATCTAACAAAAATTAACCTTAAATTAAATTATCAGGTCTAAAAATGGTCAAAAAGTCTTTTAACCAAATCCTCCCATCTCCCCTGACCCTTGGCAAACAAACATCTTCCACACGCCTCCCTATGTGCTACTAATCAGCTTAATGACTAAGGTGTCCAAAAAGTTCACAACTACATCATTTATCCAAAAAATTAAAAATTAACAAATTTAAATTGCAAACTTCACTTATTATAAAAGGAATGATAAGGAATTCTAAAAGAAATTTATAACTAACAGATGTATGCTACTTTACTGAAATGGCCACCACAGAGGACAACTGGCTAGAAGGACACTGATTGGAGGTTCTGAAGTCCAAGCAGATCACGTGTGCATCTAAATCAGATAAAGAACCAATAAGAGGTCAGAACCTCCAACAGAAAAGAACCGGTTCTACATCAGGATGATAAAAAGTTGTCATTTCAGTGTTTTTCTAATTTAACCTCCATGTGAGTTTTTTCAATAAGTGGATTCGTGGAGCAACAGGTTTCTTCTCCAGGTTTCTGTGGGATCTGCTCTCTCCTGTTCACATGGTCTCATATTCAGGCTGTCTGGTTCCAGCTCAGGTGATTCACTCCTTTCATGATTCAGACTCTCCGTGTCCCCAGATCGAGTCAGGATGTGCAGAACCATCTTGCACAATTGATTATTTTAAAAACATATAAATGGATCGTTTTCTAATTTTTGCTTAATTTAATTGATTAAATGTTTAATGCATTGGAGAACCTTGTTAATAAAATGTCCACTCAACGTCTGGCCTCTAGAGGGCGCTGTGAAATCATGCTAATCCCAGATGTGGAGCAGTACCTCTCAGCAGTTTTGTTGCTTTATTAAAATCTGTTTCAGGAGGTTTGTCTAGTTTATAAACTGTTTTATAAAAGCTTATACTTCAGTTCTGGCTTGTTATTACTATTTAGTTTCTTCAAACAAAAATGTTTCTTCCATTGTTGGAAAACCCGTCCTGAACCGTTCTCCTCCGGTTCCGCCTGGAGAAGCACCACTGCTCTTCCCAGCAAATTCAAAACCAGTAGAGTCCCGCTTGGATCCCTGATTGGCTCAGCTGGTTCTGCTGGTCAGGTTGGCTTTTAAACAAGCAGTCGCCTTGCTGAGAGCTGCTAGGAGAGACGATTGCTGATCAGGATGAATAATGCTTCAACAGTATGTTTTTCCTCAGGTCTGAACGAAACAAAGACCTACACATCATCTCTTCTTCTTCCTCAGCTTCCTGTGTTACTGTCTAATAACCCTGGTGAAGGCTTGCCTCATTCTGATCATCTTGGACAATAACCTCCATGAACCCATCCTGCTGTGTGCTTTTTGCATGAATCAACTTTATGGAGTGATGGGTTTCTTCCGTAAGCTTCTGTGGGACCTGCGCTCTCCTGTTCACATGGCATCATATTCAGGCTGTCTGGTTCAGGGTCAGGTGATTCACTCCTTCACCTGTGACCCGTCCATCCTGGCTGTCATGGCGTACGACCGCTACCTGGCTATATGTCGACTGCTCCTGTACCACTCTGTCATGTCCAAGCAGAAGGTCACAGAGTTAGCCGTTCCTCCTGGTTAATGCCGTTCGGCATCGTGGCTGTAGGCATTTTTGTAACTTCCAGGCTGACTCTGTGCAGCTCAACCGTCAGCAGGCTTTACTGCACAGACTGGAGCATTGTGGCACGGCTCTGGCTTGTTTTCCAGCTCAAGTTACAGCAAACACCATCACTGCAGATGTAGCAATAATCATTTACGTGTGTCACGGCATCTTCATCATTTGGTCCTCCATCTATCTTATTAAAACTTGCAGCAGATCTATAGAAAGCAGAGCAAAGTTCATGCAAACATGCGTCCCACATTTAATCTCCCTGCTCGTTTTTTCTGTGGCGGTGCTTTTCCACCTGGCAAACATGCACTTCGCCTCTGAACGCTCACCTCAAGCGCTACTGAATTTGGTTGCAGTAGAAACGTTCCTCCCATCATGAATCCTCTCATTTGTGGTTTCAAACTGACTAAAATACGAAAGAAGATTCTGCATTAAAATGATCCCATTAACAAATAATGCACAATAATTCTGCCTTGAGATCATTTTCATTGATGTTTTTGTTCATTTTGAAGTAAAACACATGGAAAATAACAAATAATAGATTACAAGACTTTTTAAAAATATTTAATCTGTTTTATTATTATTATTGTTATTATTGTGCATTTAACTTTATTTTACACAAATTCTATTTACAAAACACAGACAAAATAACTGTTTATCTTCATTGTTTGTTTATATTCTGAGGATGTGCAGAAAAGCGTTTCATCATGACCATATTTATAGGTAAAATGATTATAATCCCTCCACTCGTGTGGCTTCTGAGAAGGCAAATGATCAGTGAAGGCACACAGGCTGTTAGAGAATGAAACCTCCAAAATATAAAAACAATATGAATTCTTAATAAAATGTGAGAAATTATTAAGAAAAACTGACATTTTGGGCAGCAGTTGCTCTTAAAGAGCAAGTCACCCCCTACCAAAGTCTTACGTCACACCCACTTCCTGTTTGAAAAATGCAACAAAGGCCGTGTTTGGGATGAGCGGCGCCTCGCCTGGAAAACAGATGAGAGCAGAAGGACGCAGCGGGGGAGTGGCTGTCAGCCGGCGTTTGAGTGGATGAAGATATGGCGTTAGCGTTCGAACTTGTTTAATTTTAATTCTGGTGCCTGTTAACAACTGAAACACATTCTCACATGCTTGTGGACATCATAAAATGTGAAGATATGACTGTAATAATAAGTAAAGGTCATCAGCTGTAGATCTGTAGTGTGCTTATAGGAAACGTGACAAAAGAAAACAAATCACATTTCTTTTTATGGCCTAGTTGTCCTCATCAGCATAACAAAATTTATAGAATACATGTGAACAACTAACGTTTCGCATTCTACCACCGGATGTTTGGATCAGAATGGGAACCAATCAGCTCTTAGATCAGGTGAGAGCCAGGCGTCTCCCGTCATGCTCTAGGTTTTGCAGCTGGTGGAGAGCAACTGCAGCGCCTTACTTCAAAATCTGCGGCCGCCTTGATCTCACAAGGTTGTCGTTGCCTACGTAGGCGTGACGTCAGAGCAAGTCGGTGTTTAGTCGGACACAAAGCCGGCATGCACTGCGCGCCGAGCACCAGTGGCCTAATCCACGCAGAACTGGCTCATCTTGAACACGGCCAAATGCTGTTGCCTGGCAGACCTAGAGGGCGGAGCTGCTAACAAACACACACAAGCTCACAACCACATTGTGACATCATAATGTACCAGCTAACATCATATAATGCCTCTTAGCCAATGGCAATGGCAGACAAACACAGTGCAGAGTTTTTACCTGAAGAAGGCACAGCACTGACAGTTTTAGGCAGAATATTTGAATTTTAACTAAGATGCACTAAAGTGCCAAATTATCGACTACACGTGTCTTCAGCATGAGTACACACTTGTTTATATAATTTACCAGCTAACAAAAGCTGATTTGGGGTGACTTGCTCTTTAAAGGCACACATAGTAGGCTTGTGTATTTATTTGAATAAAATGATTGTTTATTTTATCTGTAAATTTGACAATTGGCTTCATCTGTAATACTGCTTATTTGGAGAAGGAAAAATAATGATTGTTTTGGAATAGTAACCTTTTCCCCAACTGTTCCTTTGAATAGTTGTGATGGACAAAGAGGACTTTTCAGAACATTTCCAGGAAAATACTAATATGGGGAAGGGGGGGGGGGGGGGGGGGGTCTGGAGTTTCCTGGCCAAAATGGGAGACTTGACAGGTGTACTGTTAGACTATTTACATTTATGATTATTAAACTTTTTAGGTAGAATCCAAAAAAGAATAATTCGTTTTTGTCTAATCTAATTTTTCACACAGTAAAAAAATCATATATTTATATTCTGACACAGTTTGTTTAATAAAGGTGCAGAAATATTAAAGTACATTCACTTCAGGTGGGTTTTAGGTGTGAAGCCAGTGCGGCCGCCGCGCCGATAGGGGGCAGCAGCGGCGTCGCGTGAGCCCAGTAGCAGCAACAACCTGTGCAGCAGAAGAAGAGAGCCGAGCCGACAGCAGCAGGCTACGAACACCGCAGTGCATAACAGCCACCATCAGCCCGTCTCCTGCTTTCTTCAACAGCAGCCACACCACGGAGGACAAGCGACGTCTGTTCCCGACCCTAAATCACCGAGAAGACCCCTCCGCCTCCGGACACCCGCTCGTCCTTCACCGCCTGCGTGAGTTGCGCGCCGTTCTGCGTTATTTCTGGGCTGCAGTGAGGAGGATGAAACATGCTAACGTGATGTGGGTTCCGGTGCTGTTTATATAATATCAGGTGTAATCCTCTACAGCAGCTTAGACGTCAGGTCCGAAAAGCGCGAAGGCTTGAGCGAACAGCACCTGGTGCTGTGCGGGAACGCGTTGTGTCATGACGGCGCTGCTGTGGCTGTTCTCAGAGCCAGCCTGTCAGAATAAAGGTCCACTCAGGAGTCCGCATCGTGTTCTCTTCACTGGCGTTTCCTCCTGGTGCTAAAGCCGCGCAGGCTGCCGCAGTGTGCAGCGGTGTTGCGCAGGTGTGCGCAGAAATTTAAAGCCCCGTGTCTGAAAAGGGGCTTGTTTTTAGACGAGAGCGTGCAGCTTTGTGCAGGTGCGTGAGTTATGGGTTCGTGCTCATTTTTATGCTGTTTCATAACTTCAAACCATGTCTGGAAGTGTTTTAAAGATTGGGCATCATTTTGTCCTCATTTATTTACAAACACTCAGGCGTTTTCAGGCAGTTTTAACTTATTTTCCTCATTTCTTTGGTTTTTCTGTACACGTGTGGGAAATGTGTTCGATTACTTTGCATTAAAGTGCAAATATTCCTCAGAAATGACATTTTTGTTCCCTGATCTGCCCCAAAACAAAGTTCTGCCTCCTTCCCTTGTACGTATTTTGCTTCTAATCAACCAGCTCATCCATGATGCTAGGAGATGGCCCTTATAATGGATTTTGTCAGATGATGTCGGTGTTTTACACCTTTTTGTTTTTCAAATAACATGAACCTTAAGTTCAGAAAGAGACTATTTCAGCATTTTGTTTACACGATTATTTCTTTGACAAAAAAACATTTTGTACAGGTCAAAGCCGGCCCACTAGTAACTAATAGGTCAAATTTGACCAGTTTCAAAGCAACGCTTTTTGTAAAAATGTGAAAAGAAGATGCATTTACAAAGTTTCACACCCACCAAAATGCATCCTTCAGTCGTTTTCTAGATTTCTTGTGGTTTGCTTGTTTGTGCACTTTCTTCTATTCCTTCAGTTTCATCATTTTTCAGAATAATGACAAAATACACCAAGTTTTCAGCTAAAATCTTCATCAAAACATCATTCAAGATGCATCTAAAGTGACTTCTAACAAACTGCTTTGATCTTAGTTAAAACCTCTATTGACTGAAATGGTTAAGGTGAGTGAGGACAGGTGAGGTGGGATATGATTAGTGACTCCCTTTAGAAGCTTCTAACTGGACGGTCCTGGCGAGATGCTTCATGTGCAAAAGCAGAGTGCCGATGTGCTGAGTTGTCCTGAGTAACTGAGCATTTAGCAAAATCCTGGTGCCATAGTCAGCTAAAGCGGAGCACTGTCGAGACAGCCTTGGCATCAAAGCTGACTAGAAGGGCTGACTGCACAGGACCTCACTCTGTATTCTACAAAACTGCTGCTTCCCTTGCTGAGGTGAGGAGTTAAAAGGAGGAGAAAGCAGCTGAGATCATTCACTGGAGGGTCCAGTGCCAAACTCAGCCGCCGCTGCTGAACGCAGCTCAGATGCTGCGCCGGTTCTGGACGAGTGGACCCAAGCAGAAAGAAGAGAAATCACCGCTGCTATAAATTCTCAGGTGTGTCGGCGTGCTCATCATTCCTGCTCGCGTGTTTGAAACCCAGGAGCAGCAGAGGAGGCCCATTACCTGCCATCGATCCGGTTGCTCTTGCCTCGCGGGCATCGTTGTGTAAACTCTGATGAATGCACCACCTCCCATCATGGCTATGAGGCCCCAGGAAAAGCTTTTCATCAGGATTCTCCGCCTCGTGTCTGCTGGCGAAGAGATGAATGCTTGAAGCAAGCTGTCTCACTTTCAGCATCACTAAGATGTTCTACTAAATAATAGTTTCTCATCTCATGTTGATGCATGCTGTTACAACAATCATCATATAAGAGCAGAGCTGAAACATGAAATCGCCCCGACTGGAGCTGCAAAAACACATTAGAGGCTGCCCGGTCTAATTGTAAGACTGGATCCGACTTCCCTCGGCGGGACGGCGATTCTCCTGTGTGTGGCCAATGCTCTCACAGAAAACGGGAATTTCCTCTACGCCGTTCGGTTTGTTTTTGGACGAAATGCGTTCTGGACACCAAAGCATGTGTTAGTGGTGACACCCTGTCTCCTCTTGTCTGGTGCCCTTCTGAAAAAACACCAGGCATCCTGTTTTTGTGTGCGTGAGTCGGTGTGTGTTGTAGATAAAAAGCAGCTGCGATGTCGGGTGTGAGAAGGGAAGTCTTAAAAGTTCCTGAAATTTAAAGTTTGAAACAAAACCACACCAAAGAATGGCTGTTTGGGCCCTGAGGATAATGCATTTGGTGTGTTTGGTGAAGCGTCCCAAATACCGAAGCTTTTGCCTTCCTCTTAAACCTGAACGTTACCGAGGCAATGCTCTGGGTGAACTCTGGACATGTTCATGCTGACTGGTTACCTGAAGCCACTGAGCAGATAGTGCACCTGGCAGTCTGGATTCAGACACATTACATCTGAGTTTCGGCTACAAGCAGTTCTCTGTTCCAGGTTTCTTATCTGCATTTCTGCTATTTTCTGATTACATTAGTTCGGGGTCACGTCGGGTTGGAGAGGATTTTTATCCTTTATTGTGATCCAAACAGTCCTTTGTGATACTCTTGGTGTCAAATTGACATTTTTTGCAGCTCTAAGAAATGAAGCAGAAGGTCTACTAGGTCAGCGGTGTCCAACTCTTGTCCTGGAGGACCACCATCCAGCGTGCATTAGTTGTTTCTAAGCTCCAACAGACCTGATTCACTGATTGAATCATTCACTGATTCAGTTCAGGTGCTGAAGCAGAAAAACCACAAAAATATGCAGGAGCGTGTCCTTGGAGGACACCACTGGGAACCGCTAGCATCTATATAATTTACAGCAAACATTTAAAAATTGATTTTAAACATATTGAAATTGCAATGACATTTTATATTTGCTCAACAATATGTTGTGTGAACATGGTTTCCATGCAGTACTGCTAGGTGTGCAGCACAAAAAACGCTGCTAAATAGCATCTTTTGGTTGTGATTTAAAGGTGCAATTTGTAAGAATTCTACTGTGAAATAATCACAAAGCAGTCTAGTGCAAGCGTATTCCATTCCGGGCCTGGAGGGCCGGTACCCAGCCTGTTTTAGTTTGAACTCTTCTTCAACACACCTGATTCCAACCAGCAGGTGATTAACAGGCTTCTGCAGAGCCTGATGAGCTGCTGCACAGGTGATTCAACCAAAGTGTGTTGGAGCAGCAAAACCACTAAAACATGCTGGATACTGGCCCAAACGCAGGACGTAGTTTCTGTTTATACTCTTAGTTTGTGAAGTTGCGGCGTTTGTGCCAACTTAACGCAGCAGCGCAGGCGATTGTAATTCAACACCCGCCGCAAAAAGCTTCAGTTGTTTAAAGAACTGAAGCCAGTAAACAGGAGCGACCCAGAAGCTATTACTTGTACTCTTAAGAAGCCACAGCATGCTTTTGTTTCCTCTAATATTGGGTAAAGAAGGTTAGAGGCTAACGTTGAGCTAGCAATGCTAACGGTGAATTAGAAGCAAATGTATGTGTGAAGTGAATAATGACTCAGTCGTGGCGTTTTACTTCCCTAATGAGTCGTTCAGGACTGTTTCAGCAAGCTAACGGCAAACAACACTTCCTGTAATGCCGGAGACAATTTTACTACATGGTAATTACTACATGGTAATTACTACATGGTAATTGTAGTAAGTGCTCCCTACCAGGGCTGGGCGATATGGCCTAAAATCAATATCACGATATATTGAGGATTTCACCTCAATACCAACAAATGGACGATAATTACAGGTATGCACAGAGACAACGGTTGTCCACTAGATGGGGCTGTGTCACATGTATTACGTTGAGTCACATTTTTACGTGATGGCTTAAAGGGACACGAACGTTGCCAACCTACACACATCTTTTCATTTTTTATTATCAAATGTATTGACATGGGAAAAATGATCTGTAATAATCGATTTACTACCCAGCCGTAGTTCATTAAGATGGTTCCTAAAACAGAGCTGGCTCCATTAAGGCTGTTTTGCTGTTGATGATCAGAGTTGTCTCTTTTTTTCCCTCCGTTTATAAAATAATCACGATTCCACATAAAAGCCCCACATGAGCGCCCCTTCTCTGTAAATGCCAGGAATGATGTTGTTGTTCCGTGTGTGGTTGAAATTGGGATTGAAATGGATTTTTGATGCTTTTGTTTTTTACAGAAGATTTGAGTCAATGAACCAGTCTGTGTAAAACACTTGTACCACAGAGCGCTTGCTTTGGGCTACTGCTGCTAATTATGAGCTACAGGAACGCTGTCAGAGAGCTGATGGAGAGGGGCCTAGTGGCCGCTATGAACTCTTAATAATGGCTTTGGTTGAACTTGTTGCTTGTATGGGTTGAACTCCAAAACCACGCTAATGCAAATGTATTTATCTGAATTGAGCAAAGCTGTAAGAGTAACTTCTCTTTACCCAGCAGCAAGGCATCTCTCCAGGACAGCATTAGAGCGGGCTGTCCAGTAATCTGAAGGTTGTAGGTTCAAACCCGGCTCCCGCCATAGAATGCTGCTGTTGTGTCCTCGGGCAAGACGTCTAACCTGCCATGCCTGCTGGTGGTGGTTGGAGGGACCGGTGGCACCAGTGCCGTGTTGTCTTGCTTCCGTCAGAGCGCCCCACGGCAGCTGTGGCTACGCTGCAGCTCATCAACAAATGTCAGTACACAATCATGTTTTAGAGCATTTATCAAGCGTATCCAAAACATAAATATATATTTAAACTGTAGTGGTCTTTGTGAAATTATGTTTTAGTTATTCTAATCTGTATTTATTTGGTTATGATTGAATAACAGCCATTTTGGTGGATTTACTTGTTTTTGTCTTTAGCTGTGTTTTCTGACATGATGGATGCTTTAGGGACTTTTCTTCCTGTACTAAATATGAGGCGCTTTGGTCAGCTCTCATGCTGTTTGGAGATGTGCTTGATAAATTAAGTTCTTGGTAGTAAAGTACTGAAACAGCACCGGTCTGCCCGTGGATGTGCCTGACTTTTAATTGGCTCCACTTAAAAGGGAAATTGGCCAATTTTATTTTATTTATATATATATATATATATATATATATATACATATATATATATATATATATATATATATATATATATATATATATATAAATGAAAAATATTGCTGACTATGTTCCCAGCGAGAGGAAAACTGTCTGCTATGGAAAATGAAAAGGGCCGAGCCGTGCTAAATCGAGCCCGGCTCAAAGAAGAAAAACTGCGTGTGATTTTTCCAGCTGAGGGACAAGTGAACTTCACCAAATGACATCAGGGTGCAGCTTAGCAGGGCGACGCGAGGCCTCCTGTCTGACCCTGGCTTGCATGACATCCTGTACTTAGCTGAGGGGGGTCCCGCATCGATGCTGCTCCATCACTCCGTTCACCAAATTATTTTGAGCGGGGAGCCGCAGGTGTTACCCATTATTCATGCGGCCTCTATGAAGCGTCTGTGATGGTGAAATGAACACAAGTTTTGGGAAGGACTGTAACCTTTAAAGGTGAGCGTGCACAGGCTGCTCCAGGTAGTCCACTGGACAGTTCTCACGTTTTATTCTAGAAAAATCAACTTTGTAGACCTGTTTTCACCACAGTTGAGTTCTGTGTGAAAACAGAAGAAAGGACTAATGCACATGTCAGACGTGGTTAGCATCAGAGCGTGAATGTGACATTACAGTCGATGTCACCCACCCACGCATGCTAGCACCACAAAGGGCAGGACGAGGCCTCCGTGCAGCCACCGGCCCGCCATGGCCGACTGGAGAAACCAGGCCCAGTCTGTCTTTATTCCAAGAGCATTGTTTTCATTCATATTTAAACAATGACGTAAATTAGACGTTACAGTAGGGGTTAGTTTTATGCAGGATTGGGTAAAGTCACAGCTTTTATGTGATGAAAATTAAATACAGGATATCCAGGAGCTTCAAACTGAAATATTCTGGCCCGTGAATGAGTCACAATGTTTATTTGTGTTCTGTAACCTTTGCTGGTGTGAGCCTGTATGAATATTCATGCTCTTTCTGCTGTGCTTCACATGGAATGGTTGCACCCATTCATAGCTGCAGGCCTTTATTTTCAGCCGCAACTTTGTAGTCACATGGCTGGCCTGCTACACTCGATGGGAGCCGCATGAAAGGGGATGCTTTATCCCTCATGTAGTTCTGCAGGGCAGATCGATATTGGATGGTTTTATTCTTGGTCACATTTCTGAATCTACTTCTGATATTTTGCATCACAGCCAGAATAAGTACTTGTTCATAAAACATTTAATTTAATTTTTGTTTTGCACTTATAGACGTTACTACTTGTTTCAGATATTCACGTTCTGACTTCCTGATTCAATCAGAACTTCAGAAGTTACGTAATTATTCCTTTGAGTTTTAACCCTCCCACTGTCCTCATGGGTGACCCCGCCAGGAAGGTTGAACATTGAGCAGGGTTCGTGGTTTATCCCTTGGGTCCATGTGGCAGGGGTGAGGAGTGAGCTCCACCTCAACCCTACCATGTGGACCTCAAGGGATAAACCACGAACCCTGCTCAATGTTCAACCTTCCTGGCGGGGTCACCCATGAGGACAGTGGGAGGGTTAAACCTATTGTAGACTGTTGTTACAAATTCTCATAAAACCAGTTCTGTCCTATCCAGGATTAGAATCAGGATTAGTACCTTCATCATAAGTCTGTCATATCAGGGCCTATACATGTCTGCTGCCCCCTGGTGGATGATCTCCAGGTGGCAAGGGCCAATTTTATTACAGGGTGTCCGCGGGGTTTTAAAAAGTATTAAAAAGTGATAAATAAAAATAGTCAAATTTAAGGCCATTAAAAGTGTTAAATTTGGTCTCAGAGGTATTATTTTTTCCAAGTTAGGTATTATTTTTTTCAGACTATCAGGTGTCGTATTCTGAACATCGACATAGAAATATATTCCGAATGAAATGTTTTGAACGATTATAAAAATAAAACAAGCCGATTATTTGCTCCTCCCACTTGAGCTGCCCTGTTACAAATGAAGCGCTCCGTTGCCAACTTAGCGACTTTGATGCTATTTCCAACAGCTTCTCAGACCCCCTTCTTGACTTTTTAAATCTTAAAAGTACCTAGCGAACACCTCAGAAACATCTCTGGTAACCCTTAGCTACTTTCTGGATAACTGTCGTCGACGTTTCCTGCAGGTTAGCTAAACACTCCGCCTGCGCTCCGGACCGTTCTTCAGGACATTAGGAAAGGGAATGATGTAGTGATGTGTCAGTGGCTAAAGAAACGGCTCTCAGAGCCGGCTCCCTGTTGGATTAACCAGAGTGAGTGACACACACCGTACCTGCGGACTCCTGAGCCGCTAAAAACGGCTAAATGTGCGCGTGCGGCGCGCTAAACACACGTGCAGCTTGCCCCTGATTGCTGTGAGACCGGGTTGGGGGGTGGGGGGTGCAGCTGTGGTTGGGACAATTATTACATTAACTGATGGGCCTGTAAATAAATAGTTTATAAATAAGGTAGAAATAAGTTCCTCACGCTGATAACTAATAACTAATCTCTCTGAGGACACGGTGCTAGTGCACGCTCCTACAGCACCTTGACATGGCTAAATAAATGTTATGCAACATTTTGTGAACATCAATTTATTTGCATTTATTTGTTATAAATGCCACTGTATAATTCTTGCTGTCAGTATTTGCAAGATATTGGTATTTGGGTCTGTACTGGTTAGACTTAAATGAGTTAAACCAAGGTCTACAGCCCTTGGGTCATAAACTATGAGCTATGAGTATATTGGTCTTTTTATACTGGGAATCAGGAGTTCTTTTAGTGATCATCTTGTTTTTTGTTTATTTTTGCCCTGATTGTGCCCTGAGCAGTTTTATGACTGAATAAAAAAAAATCTACATAAATTGAAAAATCGTCTTAAATAATCGAGATCTCAATTTCAGTCACAATAATCGTGATTATTGTTTTTGCCATAATCGAGCAGCCCTGCTTTAGCATATCCGGTCACATTATGATGACGTCATATTCAGTGGTTCTGCATCATTTCAGGCCCCGTGGTCAACTGTCTGAACCGCTGAACAGAAGTGCCTGGCTTATTTTCTAAGTAAAATAAATATGCGCAATACGTTGTCAACATCAGTGAGTCTCTAAGTCTATTCTTTTTGTATGTTATATATGTTAAAATATGTGTAAATAGGTCGCTGATTAACACTTGCAATTTAGTGTTGTGATGGTTTTAAAAAAATTCTGAAGGTAGTAAAAAAGGTATTAAAAAGTAGTAAATTTTACTTAAGGATTGCTGTATATACCCTGTATTACATTGATATACCACATAAAAAAAATTGATAAAAGGTTATAGTTGTTACCTCTTGGGTTGCCAAGTCTGCGCTGACATTAACTCATTCTGCGCTGCTCTGGGTGGCTGCATGTTGGAGTTGCTCTGTCGACTATATGTTTAATCAATTTCCCTCTGGGATTAATAAAGTATTTTTGAATTGAATTGAATTGAATTGAATTCACTGCCAGCCGTTTCCTGATCGGTAAAACTCTTCGCTGCCAGCGGTTTTTGCGTTTTTACAGTTTTTTTAAGATTCACAGAACGTTGCGCGCTAGGATGATGTCAGTGCCAAAACTAACAAAACAAAGCGGAGACTCACCTCTTACATCAGGAAGAATCCGCACGTTTCGAGCGTTATCCGTTCTTTCATAATCCGTTGTTGAATTGTTATCAGCAGAAACTTTTCCCGTTTGCGCCTCATTTTTTTTACAGCAGCGGCCCAAAACGATCTCCTAACACATGGATTTTCTGCTTCCTGATCACGCGTGACGTGTGACCTATGCGGACGAAGATCGGCTTTAGAGCTGGGATGTTTGTTCTCACGGTGCGGGGGCTCGTTCCAACGCCCACACAGTAAAAAAATGCAAATGACGAATTTAGCCATCATTGGCAGTGAACGGTTGGATTTCAAATGCCGTTTTTTCTCGTCAATGGCAGTTAATGAGTTATTAATCAACATCAGCCGAGTTAAGTACGTTAGCCGTTAAAATTAGCAGCCCAGAAGTTATTGTACCCTTAAGAAGCCACGACATCTTTTTGTTTTACTCTAAAATTTGGGTAGAGAAGGCTAGAGGCTAACGTTGAGCTAACAATGCTAACAGTGAAAAAGAAAAAAATAAGTTTGCTCTAAAAATTGTCAAGCTACTTTTTCAATGACCAACAACTAGATGCAGTGGCGGATCTAGGATTTTTCTGAGGGTGGGGCCATCAAGGGGCCACAATATTTATAGAGGGGCCACGAACAGTCCAACATACTTGCATACTATTCCCAGTTTTGTATGGTAGATACAGTTTACCCCAACACCATGTTGAAAAACATCAATGCAATTGTACATCAATTTTTACTGTACATTGACAAAATACAACCACACACAGCATTTGAGAAATTTTAGCATTCAATTTATTTTACAAAGCCACAAATATCAGGTTAAAATATGTTTGTGTGTGGAAAAAACACCAGAAGAATATCACAGGACCCTCTGCTCTTGACTGGGAAATGTCTGGTGGGAAGTCAATTAAATAAGTCTGAGTCAGTTGCTTATATCTCTCAACCTTTAACATTCATGGCATTCAGAATCTGCAAGTGACTGACTGCAAAATTCAATTAAATTTAAAGAGCCTTTACAAAATGAGAAGCACACCACCAGGTCCTACTGGAACAGAACACCGTTCTGATGTCTGCGCAGGATTCTGTGCATCACACTGGAAGATGTCTGAAAACAGCAAATGAGAAATTATCTAACATAAGCCAAATACATACACAAGCATTTATTACTTTCAAAGATCAATGTTTACCATTTGATCCTGCAGGATTAGCATTGATTGGTGACTCTGGTGGCCCAGCAGGATGGAAGGTTGAGTCATTAACTTCACTCTGGTTGTCTGAATTGGAGAGAGTCTTGTCCCAGTTTGCAGCTAAAATACAAATATATGTCAAACTCCAGCTAAATCCAGCCAAAACTTTGTTTTCTATGAGACCACATTTTTATTTATTTGAAATTGAAGACTTGAAAGATTGGACTATAAAGATGAGATGTGGTAGATGTAGACAAAGAAACCAATACAATTTAAATCCATTATGTTAATGTTATAGTAAATCACATCACCATGAAGCGGAAGAATTCAGTAAACATATGTGCCATTAGTACAAGATAACATCATTTAACAAATTTGAGATAATGGTGATTTTTTTATTTTTACCTAGAATAATGGCAGGAAAAGTTGGACTAACAAAGGAATATCCAAAACACAAAATCTCTTTGGAAAACTTAACCTTGACCTTACTTAATCAACCAATTAGAAAATTCAGTGTTTCAAACAAGGACTTTTCCCACACATTTTACAATACATCAAAATGTCACAATTTAGGGAAACCTTGAAGGAATTGTGGGAAAGGAAACTTAACTGCAACATTACTGATGATGAATGGAAAGATGCTTTGAGAAACGTAAAATCATTTACTAAAGGGAAGCAACTTTGCCACTAATAATTTGTCACGATTAACAACTTCTATCAATTTAAACAATAATCCTTTATTTTTGGTGCTTGGAATAACTGACCCAATTATTACTGATAAATATAAAAAGCTCAATGCAAATTTTCTGTGCAAGAAAATGACTCCACATTAACTGGATCAGCTCCAAGATAAAATGGGAAAAGGTTATCCTCAATTATAAGCAGAACACACTGGGCAGCATTAGGTCGTTTATAAGTGGTCAGTCCGTCCTGCTGGATAATGTGGTGCAATCATGATCTTTTTACAAAAGATTATGCGATGGCGGTGAAAAGGGAGCTTGGGGGCGGTCTCTGCGCTGCCACGGACTTCAGTTTATCTTGGACATAACTTGCTTTTTATTGCGATCAAAGCCACTCATTAAGCTTTTTTAACAAGCCGCTCCAGAAGGTGTCTGTCCCCGTGCAGTCTCTGGTGATCTGAGCTTCAACTCTTACGGAGAGGCTCCCCGGCCATCATCTCAGCTGATTCTGTTTAGAAAAGCCAAACTTACGGCCCATATTTACTTTCATTTTCAATATAGTTGCCGGCCGGAGCTCGGCAGTAACTGCCCACGTGATCATGATACCCCCTTCTGTTGCGCCAAGTTGTAATATGCATTCACAAGTCCGGCGTTGCGGTGATATTAGTATCAACCGTGGCAGCACGAATGCCACAAAATTCCCACAACACCATGCCACCACGGCACGTTTATATTACACGTACGCTGATTTCCCAGCATGGTATGTCCTACAAGAGGCTGTCTCTCGTGTTTATCTGACATGACTGTTGCACAATAAAGATTATATTCTTTCTGACCTGATAAAGGGGGAATGGAGGTCCCTTGCCCTGTTCCAGCCTCTGGTCTACTGCCTCCTGCTGCTCTCTCTCTGATTTCTCCAAGCTCGTTTTCACCAGCTGACACACTCACTCTCTTGGGAAAAAACTGCAGAATTCCCGCCTGTATCTGACCCTTTCTTTTCATGTTCTCTATCAGACAGTGCCAACTATTAACACACAAAATGCAGATTACAAAAGAAGTACATGGATTAGCAAGGGCTAACGTTTTTTCACAAGCCCTTTTTAACATTACCTTTAACTAATGTCGGCATTGCTTTCCATTGGACTTATTGTCAGACTTGACTTACATGGCAACTGTGAGTAAACAGTGATTCGTGACTTACCAACAAACTCCTCATAACGTGGACTCTCATCAGATCCGATGTCGGTTGAAAAGTTCTCCCTTCTTGGAATCTTTCAAATCTTCTTCTGTTGGATTTCACACACTATTTTGCTCCTTAGCGCCACACGGCCACTAGTGTTTGGACTCGGAATTGCATCCACCTATAATCTCATCACCGCACAAAGGACAGATGAGTGACAGGACAGGGGCACTACAGGGGCCAATCATATTTCAGCAGGGGCCAGTGCCCCTGTGGCCCCGCCCCTAGAACCGCCAATGACTAGATGAAACAGTTAAATGTATTTATCTACTCTTCAGCTTACTGTATTTGACTCATCTTCAGTCTTCATCCAGACTCTTATGGCTCTGATCCGTTACTGGCAGCAGCCATGAAACTCGTTTTATTAGTCACTTGTTTTGAAAATGGGCTGCAGTACCCACATTTGACCACAATATGTCATTCTTACTTCATTCTTACATTGTGCACCTTTAATGTGTTCTTTATCACCCTGGGTTGCATTCAGGCCCATTTTCTGTTAATCAGAGCCGGTACACTTGATTAGATCACTTGAGAAGAATGCGTAAAACAAAGTAAACCATGTAACATAACTTCTACCAGACAGAATCCATTTTTTAAATCAGAGCTGAATCTGATCCTCATATTCCCCGTATGCCTAAACCTAAACAGCAGCCACCAGGATTTTATCTTCCTATCTGATCTGGCCAGAACCAGAAGCCACATTGCCTCAAGGGTATGATCGTCGCCACCCGCCATGTTGGAGAGAAGTGGCTCTGTGTTCTGTCCAACAATCTCTTGGGCGTGCTGTTTGAACATATGCTCAAGAGCCGACATCCACACCATAAATTCTCATGATAGTGTGTGTGTCCCCACCTCTCCAAAAACATGGCCCGTGTCATGATGTGACCCTGCGTGTTTTCACTGTGGATTAGGCTAAGTCCATCAATAATGCAGGCCACATGGAAAAGCTGTGAAAACACTTTTTTTCCTGCTTGTTTTCGAAGCTCTGCTCTTTGGCTTCGTGATTTTATCGAGTGTAAGATCTGACAGGAAGTCCTTTCCTGCTAAACAACGACTTTAAACTTTTAAATAAACAGTCTGAGCAAACGAAGCAAACTGCCGGACACCTTTAAGTTTAAAATATATCAGTTGTAACTTTAGTTTCTTGAATTTATTGATTTAGCCCAAAAAGACTGGATGGAAGAAAAAGAGTAAAATTAGCAAAATATGATGAATCAGTTTTCTTACAGAGCTCAGAAAAAGTCTTAAACGGCCAGATTTCCATTCCTTCCGTTGTCAGAAGCCGTGCAGCAGGTGCTGCCCGTCCATGGGGCATATTTGTGTTCGCTGCTCACTCAGTGGGAACATTTTAATTTGATCCCTTTGTTTCCATAAAACAGGTCAGAATTCGCACAACCCCCAGGCAGTTTGTGTCCATGTTGGTGCAGAAAGTGTTGTTGTGCGCAGGATTGGTCTGTTTGTCCAAGAGGCGTCGAAAGTGTGATTCAGTGTGGGAATTAAATAAAGGTTTCTTCGTTAGTTGTAATTTAATCTTCGTGACTTGGAAGCAAAGCTAATCGTGGCAACAGAAAATATAAACCAAGCATTTAATCTGGTGAGCTTCTTCAACATGCAGCCTGAATTTTCCACAGATAATTGTTTTTGTTTGTTGTCTGAAGTGGAAAAAACGTGTTGGTCTCGCTGGAATGTTTGGTTCTCGAACATTTTCAAAGTTTCAGCTCATTTGTTCATGGAAAGAAAATGATTCAAACAGAACCGAGATCTGGTTCCAAACTAGAGGAAGAATATGGGCAAAACATCAGGTTTATTTTACTTGTAATATATATATTAGAGTGTGCTCATTTCCTCAAGCAACACTGGGAATAAGTGGCTGTTTCTAGCAGCTTACTTCTGGGATTCACAGCTAATTTAGATTCAGGTATTTTGTTTTTGGTCACCTATGGCCACGAGCTTTAGGTGGTGACCGAAAGAACAAGATCGCAGGAATTAGTTTTCTCCGCAGGGCGGCTGGGGTTTCCCTTAGAGATAGGGTGAGATGCTTGGTCATCCTAGAGGGGCTCGGAGTAGACCCGCTGCTCCTCCATGTCGAGAGGAACCAGTTGAGGTGGCTTGGGCACCTGGTCAGGATGCCTCCTGAACGCCTCCCTGGTGAGGTTTTCCAGGCACGTCCAACCGGGAGGAGGTTAGGGCTGGGCGATTTGGCCTAAAATCCATATCACGATATATTGAGGATTTCACCTCGGTAACGATAAATGGACGATAACTACAGGTGTGCGCAGAAACAAAAGTTGTCCACTAGATAGGGCTGTCGCATGAATTACGTTGAGTCACTTTTTTTTACGTGACTCAAGGTGGTGCAGCTTCTTAAAGGGACATGAACGCTGCCAACCTCCCACATCTTTTCATTTTTTTTATCAAATTTATTGACATGGGATCAATTATCTCGGTAAGAGTCAGAAATTTTGATAACGATAAATTTTTGATTCATTGCCCCGCCCTAGAGGAGACCCAAGGGAAGACCCAGAACACACTGGAGGAGCTAAGTCTCTCGACTAGTCAGGGAACGCCTTCGGATTCCCCTGGAGGAGCTGGCTCAAGTAGCTGGGGAGAGGGAAGTCTGGGCATCCCGGCCCCAGCGACCCGACTCCGGATAAGCAGCTGAAGTTTGCAGAGTCTGCGGCGAGCTAACGCTGCAGCACTGGTATTTGTGATTTGACACAGATTGTCATGAATCTTAGTACCTTTAAAAAACTGAAGCCAGTAAACAGGAGGGATCCAGAAGTTATTTATTTTACCCCTTAAGAAGAAACGGGCTAGAAGCTAATGTTGAGCTAACATTGCTAATGGTGATTTAGAAGCAAATGGCAGACTCTAAAATGATCTCAAACTACTTTTTCAATTACCAACAGCTCGATATTACAGTGAAATGTGACGGGAATAATGAGCCAATCGTTGCTGCTGTAACGACATTTGACCACAGGATGTCATGCTTGCTTCATTCTTACATAGTGCACCTTCAACTTGTAGATCGCTCCTCATTCATTAATTAATTTCGTTGCTTTTGATGCCTTTTGTTGAGCTGATTGCTAAGAAGAAACAAACTAAGAAAACAAAATTAAACATATTGTTTTTCAGTTTTTCTGTCAATATTTCTAATTTTAGCATTTTAGCATTTTTACGTTATTGTTTTCTTACAGACCAACGTAAAACACGTTTCTATCCTGTGCAGAAGCGTTTTTTACCTTCCACCACACTCTCCCTCGCTCTCAGACTGGTTTCTGTTTTTTCTGCCTGAACGTGGACGTGCTGCAGCAGCACGGCAGGTGTGAGTTTTCATCTTGCACTTTTCTTTCGCAGCTTTTATTTTTAAAAAGGTGTTTAATTCTCATCTGTAGCTTTTGTTGCTTATGTTGAACATTTTCTTCAAAATTCATTGATAATCCTGTTTAATTAGTGGTAGAATCAGTTCTTCGGGCTCTCGGAGGGCGCAGACGCTTTTTTCCTCCTCTCCTCCATATCTTACCCTAGGGATGCACCGATGGATCGGCATTTGATCGTAATCGGCCGATAGCGCCCCTATCGGTTTTGATCGGAATTTTCAAAATAGATCAGAGCAGACCGATCAGGTAGGGTTGTCACGGTAACCAGTGTAGCGGTAAACCCCGGTGAAAAAAAAAGTTGACAATAATAACCATCTTGTTTTTTAAACAACTATATTATCTCGGTGGATTACCGTGGCTGCGGTGTAGGCGCGGTGACCCTTACCAGCCACCGTATCATCGGCTGAAGTTGCCGGCGGCACATGCACACTTTGTTGTTTACAACAAAACTTTCTTGAAGCTAAAGCTGAAATAATGGCCAAAGGAGGAGACGGCAGCGCTCAGGACATTTATTATCCCTCAAAGAAGACAAAGTGGGAAGTACGGGCATTTATTGGATATTTGAAGAATGCCGAGGGACAGCTGATAGAAGACGGCTATCCTGTTTGCAGCACGTGCAGAAAAAGTGTCTGTGAAAGGCAGCAACGCTTCAAATCTCATGACACATCTGCGTGACCATCACCCACAACTCTACAGTCAACGCAAGGCAAGCTAACGTTAGCGTTTTAGCTCAAATGCGTGATCCGAGGATTTGGGGTGAGGGAGAATGCAACGAGTCGCTATATAAAGCAGCCGCAGCGCCGCTACCTGCATATAAACCGTGTCGCGGACACCGCCATGTTGAAATGACGCTATGCATTACGGGGCTCCCAGGGGCAGATAAGAGTTGGTCTCTCTCCGAGAATAATTATGAATTTAACAACGATTACTGCCTGATGACATTTTCCCACATCTGCAAAGCTCACTGGAAGGACACAAACCGAGGACAATATTCTCCTGATATTGGGTTTATTACTCAAGTAAGGGTAAAAAAGTATCTGATTAGAAGGCTACTTGAGTACTGAGTATCATCTGGTCTAATATTTTTAAAATGATGACATCAAACAGACATAAAATAAGAAGTTATGGGCAAATATTGGTATTTTAAAGACTAAAGGGGAAAAATGTAAACAAATAAACAACATAATTACAAAATAACACATTTTAGGCAAAATTTAGACACGAACTGAGGACAATATTTCCTGACATACAGGGTTTATTTAATTGTGTGAAAATGTAGCACGTTTAAAAAAATACCGCGATAATACCGAAAACCGTGATAATTTTGGTCACAATGACCGTGAGGTTAAATTTTCACACCGTGACAACCCTACTACAGACCATTTTAGATTAGGTTGCATTTCCTTTATTCCCAGATTATGTAGTTTGTAGCACTCATTATAATGTTGTAGAACATTTCTGGCCAATCCACGTGATCGGTATCGGTGATCGGTATCGGCGATCAGCATTCTTTGATATCGGTATTGGTGATCAGCAGCAAAAAACCTGATCGGTGCATCCCTATCTTATCCTCAAGGCCCTTTGTCTGTCTCTGTGTGCTGGGTGCACGGCTGCTTCTGCGTTTTTTCTGGAAACTGGAAACTGAAATCACTAAAATGGACCTCGTCAGTTGGTCTCTCAACGCGATTGATCAAATTTTTTCAACGATGAGAACAGGAGAAGAGGCTCCCGGATGCCCCTCCGGGACAGACCCAGTTGGACACATCATGGACTCCTGGAAACAGTGGAACTTGATCTGTCTTTCTCAGCTGTCTGTGGAGGACTCTGAAGATTTGTGGATATTCGTGGTGTTGGTGTCAGGTTTCCTGCTCATTGGCCTTGGAGGCTACGTGGCTTACCGGAAAATTAACGAGCTGTCGAGGAATATTGGCCTGATCCCGGAGCTCAGAGATGGTTTGCACAGCGCTGTGAATTCACACTCACATAATTGTCGAGATGAATCGTAAGCTTGGGACTTTGGCCGAGATTCATTCATTGGCACAAAAGATGGATGCCATCAAGGAGAGAGTGGACGAATCAGCACGGATTGGGATAGATTAATGTCCATTATTGGGATTTTGAGAGGTTGAGGACCAACAAACTGTAAGACAGAGAGGAAATTATCTCTGTCTGGCCCCAAAACAATTTCTAATCGGAATCTGGTGCCCTTGAGCGTGCAAGGCTCCAACGAAAACTCCCCCCTCAGAAGATATGTGGAATGTGCCATCGCTATGGCAACTCAACTCAACTCTGTCTCCTATCCCAGCCTGGGCGGGACTGCGGGAAGGCCGCCGAATCGTTCCAGGGTCACTGCAACCCTCCAACCCTCAATGCTCCTCCCCCTGTTCAGACTGAGGTGACATGCGCTGCTTGTAGTGGCTGCAGGAACCGAAGTGTGGATAGTCGCAAGCCCACCACCCCACTTAGTGGACACTGGAGGGTAGCACTGAAGTGCCTTTTTTCCCTCCACCTGAACCAATCCTCATGTTACCCTCTTATCTCTATTAAGGTAGCGCGACTCACCCCGGGTTTCCACGGGAGCCGTCAGCAGCACGTTACTGCAGCAGCGCGTCTTGCTCGCGTAAGCTGCTGCTTGGCCCTTCCCACGAGACGCGAAGCAGCAGGGGAGCAGCTGTCACCGACCGAGCACGAAGTCACACGAGTGACTTCGTCAGTAAACACAACAACAAGCAGGAGAAAACTACAACATGGCTCCAAAAGGTTTGTGTTTTATGTTCTGTCCGTTTTATTATCGCCAATACGGACCTGAAAAACAAAGGAGACCGCTAGCTAGGTGATAACTTCTCACGGGGACGCAGTTAGTAACTTCTTTTAAAAGTAAAGCAACCGGAAGGCAGTACGTTTCTTTATTCTGAAAATCTCGGGAGCTTCTCTCAATTTCCGTGTCCGATTTCCTGTCTTTCCTTCCCCCAAAAATGTCGAAATTGACCCGTTTCAGAGGTGTCGCGCGTAGGAAATAGAACCGGCGCGTAAAGGCCGCGACATGCCGCTCCTGAGATGCGGCCGACTCGCGCTGCTGACGGCTCCAGTGGAAAAGGTTGTGTTGACCACAGCGGTTCCTATCAGCAGCTATGACGTGCTGCTGCAGTAACGTGCTGCTGACGGCTCCTGTGGAAAGCCGGGGTCAGGGTTGCGAATGACCACAGTCACCAATTCTTGTCATGTGTCTTGCCCATGTATGTCTGATCTCTGAATTGTGTGTACTGAAACTCTAATTTCCCTCTGGGATTAATAAAGTATCTTTGAATTGAATTGAATTATTTTTTACAAATATTTAACCTGTTATGAAGTTAAACCACAACATGAAACTGATCAGTCTGCCTCTCTTCTGGTACAGTGGAGCTATTTTTTCTTTAATTTTTAACATTTTTACTCAATTGTTCAAAGTTAAATAACCACAAAGTTCATAATAAGAAATGTCTCACAATTTTTACTCAAACTTTTGTTTCTCAGTAGCATATTTTTCTTTGTCTGCGACAAAAATCTTTACGTGTTACAATTAGAAAATATTTCTCTTCCTTTTTTTGTGATGTTTATTAGAAAAGTATTTTTTCAATAATTGGTAAGTAAACCTAAGACTAGATGGAGAAGAACGGTCCGTTTAATGATTTAAAATTCACGAGCTTCTCTCTGCAGCATATTTAAAACATCATACTTGCGTGGCTCTGAAACTGTTCCAAACGGTGCTCACAGTCTGATGCATTCACAAAGGACGTCTGTGTTGTTTCCTAACCCAGCCGATGACCCAAATTGACGCAGTAAAGTGGGTGTACCCTCATGCATACTGGTGCATTTTTAATGACGGTGTAACAGTATGGGGCATGGAAAAATCTTGGAGCATCGTTTTTCGTAGCACTGCCTTGTTTTGAACCAGAGATGGCGGCTTCTCTGCTCGCTCATTAAACAACTCCATGTTTTTTTTTTCTGGATATTTTTGTGTTTCAAGTGAACTTGGATCAAAACCTCTTATTTTTATAAAAAGTTAGGCTGCAGACAAACACTCGGGTCAGTCACTTTTGGGGCACAGCCTGCCTGAGGAG